TAGCAGAGAGATATTTTACCTTCGCACCTGAAACTACTAAAAGCAAACAAACTGGGCATCAGACAGTGACCCTAGAGAAGCCGGAAGCCCATGGAATGAGCCCTGTGGTCCCTGCGCTGTGTGGCTGCTGTAGGCCAGCTTTCAGGCTGTGGCTCAGGCTGGGGAAACCCAGGTGGAACCTGATTTGGGAAGACAGAGCTGAGAGTCTGGGGAGGCCATGGGGCTAGAGTTTGCAGGACAGAGGGAAGAGAGCTGCACAGAGGAGCCCAGAGATCCACAAAGGGTTCCACCAGCGCAGGTGAAGGAACCACCTGGTGCTTGGGGGAGAGCCGTCTGGAAGGATCCGTGCCTGGGGCTCACACAGTGCTGGAAAGGGGTTGTTTTTCTCCCTGCCAGCCAGACTGAAAAGCCTTGTAATTCAGGGGCATTGGGTAGCATCATCAGAAGGGCCTAGCTGGGCAGTGTGCAAGAATTACCCTGAGCATCTGTCCTTGGGCCATTTTAAAAATTAAGTAAGACGAAGTGTATAAAGTCATTCATGGAGGACCTGGCACAGAATGCATACCCAATAAATATTTATTTTAATTTATTTCTATTATAATTTTAGTTCTTATTTCTTCTCCTGTCTCTATGTCCCCATCACACAAGCTCCCATTGCTGCCAGAACATTTTCCACAGTGAAGTACCGTTGGCATTTCTGTGCCTGCTTCACATACTAGGCCTGGCTACCTCTTAGCTTTGAATTCCCAGAACCTACCACCATGCCTTGACTACAGCAGGAACTCCATAAATACTCATTGCATTTAAAATTTTTAATAACGTTTTGCTTAAGGGCATGATCATTTCGATGGCTTTTGACCTAGTAAGTGATGCATAACTGGCATTGGCAAAGCCATGGGCAACCCTTCACGTGATGCAGGTAACAATGAACTTGGGACCCTCAGATCTACTCCTCTTTCCTCCGTTTGGGAAAATGGAAGATCTTGGAAGTTTCTCTGGATGGAGAAAACACACTTGAGAATGAACTTCTCACCTGCTCACTTCACTCGCAGCTTCCTGCACAAACGTATCAAAATGAGTTCCCTTCAAGCCTGGCCAGGGAAGACCTTGGAGAAGTGAAGAAAGCTTATTCACTCCATCTGAGATGAGGACATAACTGGGTTGGTTGGGAAAGGAAGAGACGATAAAGGACGCCCCAGACCCTGGGCTTCTTGGGAGCAGGGACAGTCGTTCATTTCTGAGTCCATCCCGTGCACCCTAAAGGCAGAGGCCTTCGCCCTCACTGGGAACTCTGTCAGGGTGCTGTCCACATTTTTTTGATATCAACATTTCTGACAAGTATACATGAATGAGTCAGTCTGCTTTAAGAAGTCAATAAACATGTGTTCAGTAGTTTCTCAGGGAATTTCTGGGAATTCTTACCTATCTCCTTGGCTCATACAGAAATAGCTCTCCATGTAGTAGGAGGGAAAAGACAAGTTGTTATAAAGAGCCGAGTATAGCAAGACAGGAATGGACTTTAGAAATGGCCAAGCCCAGTGTACTTGCCAGAGTCACCTTTACAAGGACAGGTCGTATCAAGGTGTTCGTGTGTCACTTTCTAGCTAACAGAAGTTAAATAATTTACTTAAGCTCTGTGAGCCTCCGTTTCTTCACCTGCAAAGTGGAAATTATGATTCTCATCTTGACTGATGTTGTTTTGAAAATTATAAGAGAAAGTGGGTACAAAGAGCAAAGTACTGCCACCAAGTGGGTCTTTGATGACACAGGTCTGGTTCTTTTCCTCACTGAATAGTCAGAATCTAAACCAACCATCCCAAATGCAATATCGGGATACTTCTGTCAGAGAAATAGACGGAGGAGCTTCCTACAGAAGCTGAAATCGGCTGCGCAGACTAATAGGTGGGAGCCCCTGGAATCACCCTGCCACTGAGTGGCTCTAAACTGGCCATCTGAACAGCCACTTCTAATACAGGTGACGGACGTTACGCTGGGCTAGAAAGGGCACTGTGCAGGAATGAGGCCGTATCCAGAAGCACCTGGAGATGTGCAGGAAAGCTTCTCAGAGAGAGGACACTGAGTTTGTCGGAGGAATTCGGCTCGGTCGCCTGGATGAGATTTGAGCGACAGCACACAGGGAGTACAAAGCACTGATGCCTGGGAGAGCAGGCGAACAGCTGGCCGGCAGTGAGGCTGGGCCACACATCGGGGTTCGGAAAGTGCAAGGGCATCCATCCGCTGTATGAGGCCTGGAGAGCTTTGCTGTTCAGAAAGGAGAAGAGACTTGGAAGGAATGGGGAGCAATAAAGGGGCTTCAAGTTAAGGAGTGACATGATGCGGTCTGCGCTTTAGAAACACTGGGTAGAATGATGGTCTGCATTCGGGGGGCCTGGGTGCAGGAAGCAGGCAAAGCTGCCAGAACACTGTTCCAAAACTGTAGGTGAGAACTAAACAGAAGCAGGTGGAAGGAGAAAGGTGGCTGGATGCGAGATCCAGGGAGGAAGTGGATTCTAACTTAGGATGACCTGGCTGTGGAATGTGGGGAAAAGGAAGGCGCAAAGATGCGATCAAGGTTTCTGGCTTAAGGGATGGTGTGTAAAGTCCCCCCAAAACAGGGAACAGAGTGTTGGGGAGGTGGTAATGAAATGAGGAGTTCAATGTGGAGCTGCTGAATTAAGGATGGCTGAGACCTCCAAAGGGAGACCCTCAGCGGACATCTGTACAAGGAGACCTACTGGCATCCGTGAGTGGGAGAGTGAACCCCCACGTCCCTCTGAGCCTGACCACCTACATTCTCTGCTTCCAGTACTTTGTCTTCACGGGCGTGTTGGCCATGGTGACCTGTGCGGTTTTCCTCCGACTCAACTCTGTCCTGAAGCTGGCCGTGCTGCTCATTATGATCGCCATCTATGCCCTGCTGACCGAGACCATCTACTCAGGTCTCTTCCTGCGCTATGACAACCTGAACCACAGTGGAGAGTAAGTGCCCACCAACGCGTGTTCAGAAAGTGCCCAGCTTCCTGTGGGAAATGATGGAGGTGGAGTTAGGGAAACCTGGGGACCGTTTGAAGATCAGTGTATTTCTCAGCTGAGGGGCTCTCTAGCTTACAAGTCTAGGCAAAATCTCTAGTTTTCAGTTTCACCATTTATATTAATTACAGATTAATTACTGAGTTAAATTTTGGATTGAATCACAGCTCAGGTCTCCTCTTAACCTAATAATTTACGACTCCTTCACCTTTAACAGATCCCACACTTGGAGGATCTGATTATAATTTGACTGTAGCAATGTTAATAATAGTGGACATTGTTCACTTAATGGACCCCCAAAATATTAACTATTGTTTTCTCTGGATGGCAGGCTTAAGGACAATTTTTGTTTTATTTGTGAATTTTTATCTGCTTCCAAATTCACAATTGGCATAAATATTTCTATAATGAGTAAACACTCAAATTAAGTACTAATTTTTATGAGACATCTGATATGATGTCTCTAAAGATTGTTATTGCCCTGAAAATGACATTATCCCGCATGTGTTTTCACTTATGTTCTTTTCTATTAACATAGGGAGGTGGTACTATTAATTCAATTATTTTATTAATACAAATAAATTAGTTCAAAATGTTCTTAGTTTTAGTCTCTACCACCTAATATCAAGCAAAGTATTATAATTTTGTATGATTTCAGCCTATAACCATAGAAGCTACAAAAATATTTTTCTTCTGAATTCAAATCACAATTCTTTCTGGATGTCCCTTGACCTGGCTGACTTACTATGCATCTTCTGCAGTCTCTACTCAGGCCATATTTTTTCCATCTGAAGGACATCAGAAAGACTCAAAGACCATGCACAATTTCCTTTTACTTTTCCTCTGAATTTGACCTAGTCATCACTGCTTTCCGAATGATTCAAGAGGTATTTATGTTTCCTCTTGAAAGCACGTTTTAAGTGATAAATTCTTCCGCTTAAAAAAAGCATCTGCATCACAAAGAAAAGGATATTAGAAGTGGCAGCAGAGCAGGAGTTTGGGATGCATTTAGGGGGAGCTGAACAAATGACATTTCCCATTCAAACTAAGCCGGGTGAACGAGTGATTTTTTAAAGATCATGAGCTGGGAGCTTTATGGGGTGGAGAGAGGGAGGGAGACATGGGCCATACACCATGCCCAGCACATCACCAAGATTTGCTCATTTACTCCTCCAGTTATGCAGGTAAATGCTATCAGAGTCTTTCACAATGGGCAGTGAACTGAAGCTCAGAGGTATAGAATGTCTTTTCCAAGGTCAAACAACTGGTCATTAACAGAGCTGAGATTGGAACCTGGGTCTGCATGAGTACAAAGCTCATGTCATTAGTTATTTTTTCAGGAGTCCTCAATCTTCAGGGGCCAAAGAATTAAGTGACATGGAGAAAAGAGTGGTACTAAAATATCCCTATTGTTCTCCCCAAAATAAGCACTGTAGTGACTATGAGTTAAGAAATAAATGAGTGAATGAATGAATGAATGAATGAATGAATCCTAGTCCTAAAATGCTGGATGATAATATGGGGCTCACAGTCCAACCCTCTTCACTTCAGCATTGGTGGTAGTAAACAGCTCCAGTAGATCTGAGCACTTTCTCCTGCTCACTGACTATGCCTCAAACTTGACATGTGACATTTACTTCTCACCCTAACTCTAGAGGCTTGTCAACGGCTAGCTAAGCAAGATATATGTCCCATACCTATAAAGCCCATCTCACCCTGACCTCCCAAGATTTGCCATCCTTTAAGACTGAGCTTTTGAGTCCTCCTAAGCTACATCCTATTCATTCCCATGGCAACAAGGATGTATTCCTACTATGGAGTCTATCATGTTACAAAATTATTTGTCTGTTTGATTTTCTATTCTTTTTTAGTGGACTCTTTTGAGCACAAAGACAATGGTGCCTTCTTCATTTCTGTATCCCAGCATGTCCCTGGCATGCAAATGCTCAATAATTATGTGATTTGCTGGGGCTACAGAAAAGAAACACAATAATGAGTATCATCTATTATTAGCATCTGATCTCTTAAAAAGGCAGATGGAACTAGAAATTCATAAATCTGAATACCTCCCCATGAGAGAGCATATTCCCAGCCCCATCTACCCGTTCCACCTAGAGCACTGAGCTGGGCCTGGCTCTGTATAAGCCAGAGGGTCTTTTAGCATAAAGGTTGGCTAGAAGCTGCCCCCATATCCTGAGCCCTGTGCTACTCCAGCTGGCCTCCAGCAAGAATAGAAAAGGGAAAGGTGGCATCGCCTGGGTGCAGCCACATTAATACTCACTCCTCCTCCCTCTACACATTGCATCTTGTCTACCATGGCCCCATTATGTCCCTAAGCCACACCAGAGTTAAGTTATTTTGAGTGAGTTCTGAGTTTTTGTGTGCTCACGATTGGGAGGCGATAAAACAAGTGAGTGACGTGATCTGTCTTTAGTGATAATAAATATTCTGGCAGCCATGTAAGAAAGTAGATTGTAGACAGTAACATTAGGAGGCTACTGGGAATCATGGTGGCTGGACTTAAGTGCTGGAGGAAGAGGGGGAGAGAAGTGGGAAGACTGAGGATATATTTTGGTGGAACAGTGGACAGGATTGGGATAACGGAGTGGTGATGCCTCTCTCCCAGTTTTGTTTTTGGTTTTGGCTCAAGCACCTGGGAGAATGGATGAGGGGGCACTTGTCTGAGATGGAGAAACCTGGGGGATAAAACAGGAGGTGATGGGAAGCAAGTCACAATGTCCACAGACATAAAAAACAATATAGGCAATCTATCTATAAATATAAAAGTCTAAGCAACCACTTGACAAAACAACCAGAACAACCAATTGCTAAGATGCACACTGACCACCAGGGGGCAGACGCTCAACGCAGGAGCTGCCCCCTGGTAGTCAGTGCGCTCCCACAGGGGGAGTGCTGCTCAGCCAGAAGCTGGGCTCATAGCTGTGAGCACAGCTGCCAAAGCGGGAGCCTCTCCCGACTCCAGGCAGCAGGTGAAGTGGGCCTAGATAAGCCCGAGTAGCTCAGTGCTGGGCCCCGATTCAGTCTCCTCCCTGGCCACCTGCTGCCTGGCACACTGCTACATCCCCCAAGACTGCAAGAGGGATATCCAACTGCTGGCTTAGGCCTGATCCCCCTGCCGTTCTCTGTAGAAGGCAGTCAGTCTGAACAACTCAGTGACTCAGGGAAGCACAGGGAACTCAGGGTGAGCCTGCCTCCATGCTTGCCTCACCCACTCGATGGTGTTCACAGGACAGACCATGGTGGCCCAGCCCATGCACATGCAGCAGCTGCTGAAGCTCAAGCAGCAGGTTGTGCAGCAGCAGAAGACCATCCAGCCACAAGCCAGCAGGCAGACATCCCCCAAGAGGTCCCGGATTGTGAGAGGGCATAGGCCAGACTGAGGGATCTCCTCCCTCTCCAGTGCACGAATTTTGTGCACTGGGCCTCTAATACTGTCAATACTTTAATAACTATAATGGTGCATGGTGGGTACTGGAAATATCAGGTGGGGGGGGTCACTTTGTAGAGTATATGACTGTCTAACCACTATGCTGTGCACTTAAAACTAATACAAAATAATATTGAAAAAAATCTTCTATTAAGATGACATGCCTTGAGCATTTTTATTTGGGGTTTTCTTCTTCAGCCAGAGGAAGCCTGTTGGGGGGAACTGTTCATTTCCAAAGACACCTGTGTCCACATGCAAAGCTCCACCAAACTCTCTGCCTCCTGGCCGAGGTTGTCCTGAGAAAGGCTTCATATGGTGCCGAAATGAAAGAGAAGAACATTTGGAATCAAACAAGAGATTCCCTGGCCGCCTTCTGAATTTCTTTGATGGCTGAAGGTCAGGTCAGCGTGTAAGTGTACACTGGTTGCTGGCCGTCTTCAGCTGCCCTCCAGCTTGCTCCTCTTGAGAGCCCGAAGAGGCCGGCCGGTCAGCGACCAGCAGCTTGTGCCTCAGGAAGGACGGGATGGAGTGTGAGAGCTGACACAATGACACATGGAACAAAGCCTTTACTGAAGGACATGGGGCTTGAAATGGGGGTAACAACAGTGCCCGACTCAGAGAACAGATGTAAGAATTTCAGAATTGACAGAATCAAACAGTGTCCCCTTGACACAACTGATGGAAGAATCTAAGTGTGATTCCTACAGCGCTGAGGATAGGGAGCGGCAAAGAGCAACCACCCCCACTGCCTCTTAAACAGGATGATTTCTAAGAAAAGTCTTCGTGTGCATTTTTGTGACCAGAAAGTCTAAGGCTCTTTGAAATGTAGAAAAGGTGTCCTGCAAATAGATTTTTTTTCAATATTTTTTGGGATTAGTTTCAGGTGTACAGCACAATGGTTAGACAATCCAATCCTCCCCCCCCCCCCCCCCCCGGCCCCCCGATATTTCCAGTACCCACCTGGCAGCACACAGTTACTAAAAAGTGTTCCCCACCCCCCAATATTTCCAGTACCCACCTAGCAGCATAGTTACTAAAGTATTATTGACTCTATTCCCTAGGCCCGTGGTCGGCAAACTGCAGCTCACGAGCCACATGCGGCTCTTTGGCCCCCTGAGTGTGGCTCTTCCACAAAATACCACGTGCGGGCGCACACGTACAGTGTGACTGAAACTTCGTGGCCCATGCGCAGAAGTCGGTATTTTGTGGAAGAGCCACACTCAAGGGGCCAAAGAGCCACATGTGGCTCGCGAGCCGCAGTTTGCCGACCACTGGCCTAGGCTGTACTTTACATCCCCATGACTATTCTACAACTACCAATGTGTACTTCTCAATCTCTTCAGCTTTTACACTCAGTCCCCAGCCGCTCCCCCCTCTGGCAGCCACCAGTCTGTCTCTGCATCTGTGAGAGACGACATCATTATACATGTGAGCACACTGTCTGAATGCTAGACTCCACAGGCTTCCCCCAGGTGTGACCTAAGTGACCTCGTGCTTTTGGGGGCCAACGGATTTCTGAATTAGCCAAAGTGGAAACCCGCCCCCAAGCTGCGTCCATGAACTAGCGGGTGATCTTTCTTTTTATCCTGCTCCTTTCTGAGCCTCAGTTTCCTATCGCATGTCCCTGAAGTCCCTTCATGGTTGCCATTTGCATTTCTTCTTCCAACAGAGATTTCCTGGGGACCAAGGAGGCGTCGCTGCTGCTGATGGCCATGTTCCTCCTCGCTGTGTTCTACCACGGACAGCAGGTAACCTGACCTTCTGCTCAGCCTGCCTTTGGTTGCCTGGCATCTCCCGCCGGCCTAAAGCTGGCTCTTCTTTGCAGCACATGACTAGTAGCTGCTTGCAGCAAGCTGTGATTCCCAACAAATCAATTTCTAATATAGGCCACTTCATAAAACACAAAGTTGGAGAAGATGGCAAACAATACGTCTTAAGGATAGCTCTTTCAAAGAGACCATTGTCCTTAAAACAAAACAAACAAACACAGAGCTTTTGATTTCTGCTTGAGGGAAACGGCTCTCTCCCAGTCCCGTGGCCTGGATGAAATTGTGACGATCAGAGTTGTGCATGCAGACACTTGGGTGCCAGACCAGCTGAGCCGGGGTTCCAATCCCGCCTCTGCCTCTCGGCAGCTGGTGGCCTTGGGCATGTTGCTTATCTCCCTGAGTCTCAGTTTCCTCATTTCTAAAAAGGTAGGAACACTTAAGCAGGGCATTTGGAAGAATCATTTTTTTATTATTGGGCAGCGTTTTGCTCATGGCCTTACGTAACCATAGGAAGTGCTTCGTCACTGATGTGTCCCGAGTAGATAAAGCGCCTACCCGAATGATGCCACTTCCCTCTGAGCCTCTCCTCTGCCAGGGTCTGGGGGGCACTGTGCCTAGCACTGTCCAGAACCCCATCCCTGGGCCCAAGGTTCCAGTCTCTCGGAGGAGAGCAGCCCCAAATAATGCCAGGGGGCACGTGCCGAGTTGAGAACAGGTTGTCCAAGGACCTCAAGAGTTGGAGGGGCGAGAAGACATTCTGCATGGGAGCATCTCAGCAGGCTTCACCTGGTGTCACCTGCTGTCCCCGTAGAACTTCTCCATGCAAACCGAGACCATGGACGCGGTAATGTCATCCCTGGGGGATTCCCAACCCCTGCAGAGCCACTCCCTGCTGGCCCATGCTCCCCTCTGGACTCCTGTCCATCTTTCCTTGGTCTGTACACACTTCCAAAAAAGTAACCAGAAAGCAAAATAAAACAAAACAGGAAGACGTCAGCTAAAGCAGAAATAGAAACAGATCACTGAGAAATCACCATGGGAACGGAGAGGCAACGAACCCTAAGAAGCCAGGGATGAAACAGCCCAAACCTCAAGAACCTGGAGCCGTTTGCCGTAAAGGGGGTGGTGAGGTGCAGTCACAGGGGAGGAAAGAG